TGGGTGTCTTTCTGTTCCCCCTACAAGCTGGTCAACATGTGCATGGGGGGCATCCCCAGTACACGCGCTCAGTCCTGCTTTGGGTATTGCTCAGGCTGTCCTCTCAGCAAGCTCTCTTCTTCCTCTTCTTGGGTGGGTGGGTGGGGGGCTCTAAGGGTGCTGTGAAGGCCTTGCACTTTTGGGGGTTATCCCTTTTGTTTGCTGTTATTGCATTTGCATGATTAGCGTGAGTTTGTGATGTTCTTCATAGGGGATCGTAGGTAATCTGGTGTGCAGGGTGTGTCCAATAGCATTTAACACGTACTGTGACTTCTCCAGGAAAAACCAAACAAAAAGCTTTCTGAAACAGGCTTTTACTAAGGTGCCCAGGCAGGCCTTGAACTTGAGATCCTCGCGCCTCAACTTCCTGAAGACTGGGGTTGGGGACGTTGGACACTGGACTCCACAAGTCTTTTGTAGCTGGTGATTGGCATGACACAATCTATGCCTAGTGTCAGACTTCAGGAGGGGACGTGTGACCTGGGCCCGAAGGCTCCTTTTTGGCCTTGGTCTCTGGAGTGCAGGGTCGGAGGTGAGCAAGGCTCCCCTTGTGGATGCAGCCCAGGAGAGGCTTCATGGGAGCCGTGGAGCCCTGCTTGCTGCCTTGGCTGATGTGGGCTCCACCTTGACAACAGCATGTGGTAGCTCTGGTGGTGGCAACACGATCCTGGTCATCAGGGGATCTCGCGTCTGTCTCTTCTTGCGACTCTGCGTCAAGGTTTACTGGAGGGAATTGTTGACGAAGGCGCATGTGCAGAATGCTAGCTTAGTGCCTGATACACAGTAAGCATTCAGTTAATGTTAGAGCAGAAAGGGACTCACTGAGGTCTGGCCCCTTTGGCCCAGACTTTTTCACTTGAACTTGGAGCACATTCGATTGCCAACACCTATTGGTGACCGTGGATGCCAGTGACCGGTGATCATTGTCACTCTGTGTCAATCTTTAGCTTCCTGTAAATTGCACCATGAGGCCATTATCATCATCAAACACATCAATGGTCCCTAGCCTTTTTGCTAGAGAGTTGGTTTCTATGCCACCTCAAGTGCTCAATCTGTGGTTCTTTGCAAGGTGGAGGTCTCAGCTCTATGGAGGCTGCAGGTCTTGACCTCTGGGTAGCTCTGAGCCTTCTGCTTTGCCCTTAGTGATGCCAGACTAGGCTGCCGGACCATTACATCCCTGGGAGGGAGGGTGTACGCTTGTGTTTCCTATAGTTTCTCCCTTCTCCTTCCCTTCTATTTTTGAGACAGGCTCTCACTCTGGGATGACTCCTTATGTAGCCCAGGCTGGCCTCAAACTCACGACTCTCTTCTGCTTCTACCCTCTTGGTGCTGGGATTACAGACCCATATGATCAAATTCCCATGTTCCCTGTGACCTCAGCATCAACGATGCCCAAGGAAACAAGACTCAGTAGGGTTTGGAGAGCCTCTTGGGCTGTGAGATCTGAGGAAGCAGGGTGGAGGTGAGCTGAGCTGAGGTGAACTTCTGGGGCATTCATGGTGTGACCTTCAGTAGCTGCAGGACCCCTGTACCTCTTCACTGGCATGGTTTTCCCTAAGAACAATGAGCTTGAGGACGGCAGGATGGAACATGCCTGTTTAACACGTGACTGGATGCATCTCTAGACCTCCCTGCTGCTTACCGGGAGAATCTGCATATTAGCCTTGCAGTTAGCGGCAGAAGAGGCAACCGGGGCCATTTTTGGCTCGAAGCATGCAACAATGCATTCGAGGATCCTCTGCTGTTGTCCGCTGTCCCCGTAGGTCTGACGAATTAGTTAGCATAGTGTGGTGCTTTCTGACATGTTGGCTTGATGAGATGGAGCCATCGTCCCCGTCAGGCAATCAAACATTAATCTAAGCACCTCTGCGAGACAGTTTTGCAGATTATAATCAGAGTTCCTAGAAGTGGACTTTAAAGGAGCTGGTCTGGGCGTGAGCCAAGCCTAATCCGGTGAGGCCTTCGAGAGAGGTTTTAGGCCTTCCCTGAATTCGTGGCTCATGCCAGAGTGTTTGTGATCCTCCCTTCCTGCCCTCTGCCCCGCAGACTTCTGATTGGCTTATCGAGCCACTACAGTTGCATAGACCAATAACTCGGAAGAAGTGTCTTACCCCTGCGGTCTGGGTGGAGCGTGGCTGTGGGAATGTTGTTGGTCCATATTGGATATGCAATGTGAGGGAGGGAGAAAGGTCTTTGCTGTGTAAAGGCACTGGGACTTGGGTGTTAACTTGCTGTCGCCACAGACTCTAGCTAATGCTGGCTATGGAAACAGCATCAATGGATCCATTAGTCTATCGTGTATTAACTAGAATGTGTCTCCACACCGTATCCAACAATGAGTTCCTTGAAATAAGGCCAGTTCCTCCATAGCTGTTGAATCCTAGGTCAGATTATAGTACCAACACCCTTGGTGTCAAGGTAGATTGGTTCGAGGGCCTGCCTCATGTGCCCAAATCCACGGATGCTTGTCTCCTATATAAAATGGCACAGGCTTCTCATATTCCCTAGGTACCCTTAACTTTTCCACCACCTGTAGGTTACTCATAAGACTCAATAGAAAGCCATGCTGTATAAGTAGTTGTTACACTGTATTGTTGAATGATGACAAGATGCAAACCTTGTCATCATCTATGGTCAATATTCATGCAGTTCTTTTAACAAAATATTTTTGGGAGTGGGGTCTGCCTTGGAGGTAGAGTGCTCACTTAACATTGCTTTGCACGTGTGGCACCCTGGGTTCGATCCCAGCTGGTTCTACGTGGCATGTGGTGGTCACTTGGAGCGTTTACCGACTGAGTCGAATCTACCGTCTGGACCAGCATTTTGGTCTAAGACACTTCACAGCACACACACAGCTCCCGAACCTCTTTTGGAGGACAAGCAGCGTCAAGTTCATCAAGCTTGGAGATTCCCCCAAGATATAAAGTCTGGAGCTAAATGCAGAGTGTTTTAAAGTCAGGAGAACAATAGGAGCCCGAGTATGGCCTTTTTGTTTGTTTCCGTTGGAGATGGGGGGGGGGGTCTCGTTACGTCACCTAGGCTGGAAGCACGTTGCTGAATCAGGCAAGGTCATCTTCCTGCCTCAGTATCCTAAGTACTTGGTACTATTGGTGAGTGCTTCTATACCCAGCTTCCCACAGTCCTTTAACTATGAAATCTCGGGTAATTAACCTCTTTAAATCTCAGCCTATCACCAAAGGAAAATGGTGGTTTGTCATAAAAATTAAGCAGCTAGGACTAGGGATATAGCTCGGGGTGGAGCACTTGCTTAGTACGTGTCAGGTCCTGGGTTCCAGCTCCAGCACACATACACAGAAGGAGGAACCGAGCACTGAGCACATCTTATTATATTGAATATACATATGACTCAATATATATGGTATGACGCACACAGAGTGGTGCTTCCTGATTCCCCCAGACACGCCTGACTTAGAGTTCCATATGTGTGAAGTTACTGGAAAAGCCAGAGCCCTGCCGTTTCCTGTAAGGACTGAGCACACACTTGCATATAGCACACACGCACACACACATATGCTCACAAATCCACACAGCCAGGAGAGTAAACAGGATGTGGAGGAGCGTGCCATAGCACTTTCTAACTGCTGTTTCTAGTCTCAAATCTGACTCTGATTTAAGCTCCAAGATGACTCCGCGTTAGGTTCTGAACTGGGTAGAGATGCCCGCTGCCCACACAGAGCAAAGGTCTCCATTGTGGTTTGATGTTTATCTGCTTCTCATTAGTTCTCAAGCTAGTCCCACTCTCCAAAAGCAACTGGCTGTAGGCTACGAAAAACTGAACTCTGGCCGGGCGGTGGTGGCGCACGCCTTTAATCCCAGCACTCGGGAGGCAGAGGCAGGTGGATCTCTGTGAGTTCGAGGCCAGCCTGGACTACCAAGTGAGTCCCAGGAAAGGCGCAAAGCTACACAGAGAAACCCTGTCTTGAAAAACAAAACAAAACAAAACAAAACATAACCCCTGAAAAACTGAACTCTGTTTGAAGACCTTGGTTTAACCTCGGGATTCTCAAAATTATTTAAAAATAATTTCTACCCCGCCTGAACTATCCATGCAGTTTCTGAAATACCTGAATCAGACTATAACTGAGCATTCATTTTAAAAGAAAACATCACAGTCATTCACCTTGGAGGAGTCAGTGTTGGGGGGAGGAGTTTTTCGTGGGCACCCCTTCCCTCTGTCTGGTGAAGTGAGGCCGTGGAGTTTCTTTACTGGAGCATCCATAGTGTCTTCTCTGACAGGGAGTTTACTCTGATGGAGCCCAGGGCTCCAAGTATGCTTGGCCCATCCTACCACTGAGCTGTGTCTCCAGGTCTGATAGGAACTTTGATGGGAAGCCAGTGACAGCATCCCAGCCAGGTACACCCATCATGAGGCCTTAGTCTTTAAGTGGCTCATAAATCCGTAGGAGCTGCATGGTGGTGGTACGTGTCTGTAGTTTCAGCTATCTAGGGGCTGAGGCAGGAGGATGTCTAGGCTAGCCTGGACGTCATAGCAAGACGCTACCTTTAAAAAAAAAATAGAAAATAGCCCAGTTAATAAGAGATAAGTATGTAGAATCTCATTTCAGAAATTAAAAAAAAAAAATAGACTCAGTAGAGGCCAGCAGCAATTGGGTTTTATTTATTATAATTAATTAGTCATTTTGAAGTAGGCTACCCTGGAGCTTGTTGCGTACTTCAGGGTAACCTTAGACTCAAGATCCTCCTGTCTCTGTCTCCTGAGTACTAGGATTACAGGTGTGCACCATTACTCCTGTCTAGAAGTTATGTTGTTGTTGTTGTTTTAATAAAAATATCATTTATTTATTTTGTATGTATGGGTGTTTTGCCTACATGCATGCCTGTGCACTATGTGTGTGCCTGGTGCCCATGGAGGTCAGAAGAGTGTGAACGATTCCCTTGGAACTGGAATTAACGGATGACTGTGAACCATATGGGTGCTGGAAATCAAACCTCGGTTCTCTGGAAGAAGTCAGTGCTCTTAACTGAGTCTTCTCTCCAGCCCCCCACCCCCCACCTTTAACATTTTTAACTTAGTGTACAAAGCGATAGATTTTGTTATGCAATTAGGTTTTAGAAACAGAAACAACAGCTACATCTCCTGCCTTCTAGCTCAGAGCTCTCCAGGCTAGCTGCATAATGACTTCTCCCAGAGTCTCCAAGCTCACCAGCGCACACTGATCCCGCCGGTCACTCCCTTTTCTCCTACGCTGTAGGTTCAATTTATTTTTGTCTTGAGAAAAAAGTTCCCCGTTCACCTGCGACTCAAAATCCAGCGGCAGCTTTTCCTGCTACAGGCAGTGTTGTTAGTAGGGATGGTGATGGCCACCACCCTAGGAATGTTGGGAAGGGTCTTCACTCGGGAAGATGTAAGTACAAACTCTGTCCACCTCAGGACTGGTGCGCAGAAGGTGCATGCTGATCAGGAAAGAGTGGATGGGTGGTAATTCAGATGCATTCCTTTTTTCTTGAGGTAGGGCCATCTTCTCCTGCTGTGGAAAGACGCCATGACCATGGCAACTCTTACAAAGGAAAATGTTGAATCGGGGCTGGCTTACAGTTCAGAGGTTCAGTCCGTTATCGTCATGGCGGGACATGGTGGCCCACAGGGAGACGCGGTGCTGGAGAGGTAGCTGGGAGTTCTACATCCGCTTTGGCAGACAGCAGGGAGAGGGTGCCATCCTGGGCCACCTTGAGGATCTGAGACTTCAAAGCCCACCCCACAGTGACACATTTCCTCCAAGGCCACACCCACTCCAACGAGGCCACACGCACTCCGACGAGGCCACACCCACTCCTACGAGGCCACACCCACTCCAACAAGGCCACTCCCACTCCAACAAGGCCACACCCACTCCAACGAGGCCACACCCACTCCAACAAGGCCTCACCTCCTAATAGTGCCTCTTCCTATGGGACTGGTTGGGAGATTTCTATTCAGATTACCACAAGGACCTTATACTCTAGCCCAGGATAGCCTCACACTCGATATCTTTCTGCCTTAGCCCTGCCAAGTGCTGAACTTACTACTATCTATCATCAGCCCTATAGTTTACAACATGGGTTAAAATCTGTTTCTTAAAAAAAGTTGTTCTTACTTTTACTCAAGTGTATGTGTCCATGTGAGTGAAGGCCACAAGCAGGCAAGTGCTGGCGGAGGCCAGAAGAGGGAGCCAGATGCCTTGGAAGCGGAGTTAGAGGTGATTGCCAGCCAAACTCCAGTCTTCTGGAAGAGCAGCAAGTGTTACTAACCACTGAACCGTCTCTCCGGCCCCAAGGCCTGTTTCTTGATTCGCTCTGGCAGTGGGAATTACTGACCGAGGGGCTCAAATCCATCCTTCTCCTCCCTAGAGAAGGCCTTGACTAACCCGAAGCCTTCGGAAGAGGGAAGGGACGGCCAGAGCCGGGAGCCCGAGGTCCTGCCACTGTCCCTCCGATTAGCCCTATCCTCTCCCGCTGTGGTCCCCACCTCGCCGTGTTCATCTGTCTGCATGGCACAATGTGGTGCTGGCTCAGATGTGCAGCGCTACAGTTACACACCATCCCACCGCGTTCCCTGTCTCGCGAGCAAGAGGTTTCCCGAGTCGCCTTCGGTACTGCGTGGCATCATCCTGCAGGGTGCCGCCGGGCCCAGACACCGTCTCTGTGAACTCTTTTCTGGGACCACTAACCACCACCTGCAAAGTACAAATGCCCCACTGTGAGGCTTCTCAAGCTGCCATTCTTGGTTTATCCAAACAGGAAATGCATAAATATAAAGATGGAGGTATGGCTTTGATGGTCCCCCGCACATCTCTCTTTCAAAGTAGAACTCAACTGTGTGTATGTATGTATGTATGTATGTATGTATGTATGTATGTATGTATGTATGCACTGCATACCCACCCTTGCTGGACTACAGGGGTTTGGTGACTTCTGTTTTTTTTTTTTTCCTTCCTGGCTTCATCAGTTCCCTCTCTTGGCTCTTTCTCTGTTGGGGCCTTTTCCTGTCCTTTGACCCAGTGACTGACAGCTGGACTCTGGCCACTGGAGAAATGTGGACAGGCTGAAGGTTATAAGAGGCCAGGCTTTGTCCCGGGGCCCGATGGGTCTCCACTGACCTTGGAGCCGAAGGACTGGGAAGACCAAGGGGAGCCATTTCCTTCCCTCTTTGGTCGCAGGTTTTAATGTCTTCTTTGTTGGTCTGCACCCCTGGAGGCCGCACCAAAGAGGGAGGCTTCAGGCTGCCTCCTCCTCCCTCCTGGACAAAATGGTGCATGCTTTTCCTGTTTAAACAGGGCACAGTTGTGAAGTGCCCCGACTTCGCACACACCGAGGCCCGGCAACGGCTGCAATAAATCAATAGGAAAATAGAAGCTGCCAGTTAGACTAAACAAGCGCATTTGCAAAGACGGCTAGCCCTCATTAATCACTCTGACAGTCCTAAAAACACATTTCCCCTTTAATGACTGTATTTGGATAATCAGTGCCTTTTCCTCCTCACTCAGAGTTTGAGTAACAGACAGCTGGTGTTATTACAGCCATCGGAGAGAGAGTGCTGGGATTAGGGTCGACAGAGAACCATCCACTGGAGGTCTAGGCAAAAAAAAAAAAAAAATGCAAGCTGCTTGGCCGCAAAAGCTGTTGTTAGGCAATCATGAGGGGGCGCTTTGTACTGCTGTGGACAGCTCAGGGCAGCCATGTGCAAGTAGCCCCCAAACCTCCACACCCACCTGCGTTACATGAATGAAAAAAATCTCCTGTTGGTTTTATGAGCTCTGGCCATGTGACCCCGTGGAGGAGGCAGGAGGTACTTTGGGAGGGAGGAGAAGATGAGTAGATGCGCTCTGAGCGTTGTTTCCTTCAGGTGACTTTGGCTTTGAGGAGAAAGTTTGAAATCTCGCACATTCCTCTTTATAAATGATGTAACACATTAATGCACAGCACATTATGAAAATGGTAATTCAAACCCATAGTGCTCCAAATTAAACCATACATTATCGGATGCACTCAACCATCTATTTTGCAAAAAGACAGGATGAATGAAATCAAATCAAACAGAAAACTGGAGTGCAGCTTCCCCTACAGAATGATTAATAAAGTGCAGGCCTCGGGATTATTGCAAGACAGATTCTACCCAACCCAGACACGCACGAGAAGGGAGTTAGCGCTTACACAAATACAGTACCTAGGATCCAAGCCAGGCGATCGGAGCTGTCTATGAATGGAGAGTGGTGGATTTTATAGATGGCAGAGGATGGTTGGGAAGGCTAAAAACGCAACCAACTCTGAGTCAAGACTATATCTGAGGGCAAGCCTCCCCCCCCCTCCTCTCCTCTCCTCTCTCCACAAAAATAACCTAGCAAGAGGTGTGAAAATCGAACCTGGAGCCAGGAACATCCAGTGTCTCCGACTTCAGCTTTATGGCTTCCACCATGGTGCCCTGGGAACGAACACAGGGCCCATTTCTGGAGGCTGGAGAGATTAGGGGAGAGAGGAGGAAGAGAAGGAGGAGGAAGAGGAGGAGGAGGAGCAGCAGGAGAAGGAGGGGGAGGAATTTGGAGAGAAGGACATAGAGAAATGCAAGGAGGAGTTGCCAGATGTGTTAAGTATACAAATGGGCAGCTGGGGGAGAAGTTCTTCTCGATTAAAATGGCAATTAATGGGACTTAAGCTATCAAAAGTAACAAACTCCTCACCAGTTAATTAAAATAGGCAGTTTCTTAGGAATCTTTCCGGTTTATGAGTGTGTGTGTGGGGGGGAGGGGGGTGTTTAAGGCTAATAACTTCATTTCCAGCCCTTTGGTTACCATGGTAGTTTGGGGCAAGTTAGTTCAACCAGGCTTGGTGTGATCTCCCTAGTCCCAAGCGCAATAGTTTTCCAATATGCTTTTTTTTTTTTTTTTTTTTTTTCATACCGGAGGTGTAAGCCAAGCAGCTTATTAGCCAGGTTTTCTTTTAGTATGGAGAGAAGTTATTAGCTGTGGGAGATGAGGAATCTTTTTCCATCTCCCTTCCTAACCAGAGGAGTCCCTGTGCCCAGGAGGAAGGGCTACCGACCACAAAGCAGAAAGAAAAAGTTTAGGAACCCTCTCCATGACTTTTAACAGGCTTCGGAAACGTAACACAAAGGTGTCTGCAGAAAAAAAAGGGGGGAATTGGTTAGAAAAAAAGCTGGGGGGGGCGGGGAGAGAAGAATAAATAGCGTGGAAAACAGCGTGGGTGGGGGTGGGGGAGGCAGGAGTCCCTGCATTTCAGGTGGGTAGGAGAGTGGCCCTCTAAAGGATGCTGGTTCCCCAGGCCCACCTAGGGCTGGTCTCAGGTTGCCTGTTGCAATCCGCTCTGGATTCCTGTTCTCCGTGTGTCTACAGATGTCAGCAGCCCAGGCTGCTTTCCCTGGAACATGCAGTCATTGAGTGACCAGCATTAATACTAGGTTTAAAAACAACAACCACCACCTGATGTTCTCGTCACTGACAGAAGAATTTTGCCTAGATAACAAAGATCTGGGGACGCAAAAGTGTGCGCTTTGTACTCAAGAGTCCAGAGCGGTGAGGCCTTCCACGGAGCCTCCACCCAGAGGTTCAGTTTGTCAACACTGGATACATCTAGGTGGAGAACGCACCCCCCAAACCCCCTCAGCTGACTCCTGCCTACGAAGCTTCAGAAGCAGGAAGTCCGCAGGGTACAGACTACCTGTTCAATGGTTACTCTCACAGAGAGGGCACAGAACGGCAGCACCAATAAATCCAAAAGCCCGGGGGCACCCCTGCGGCGCATCCAGGGATGCGCAGTGCAGCGAGGCTGGTGGCCCAGGGTCTGTGGCACCACCGTGGCTGCCCCCAGAGGAGAAGAGCCCGTCCGCACTGGCACTAGGCAGTTGGTGACTCAGGCACCTGGGCTCAGGGCATCCTGGACGCTCACTGCGGGAGACTGCTATTCCACGCAGTAGGCAAGTACCGGGCCAACACCCCACTAAACAGCACCTGCTCTCCACTGCGAGAGGACACAGGTGATCCCTGACATCAGACCGGCTTCAGGTTCCTGTGTCATCGCTGGCTGAGAATTCTCAGCAAAACCCAGACCCGCTTCCGAGTTTTCAGAGTCGCAGGGGACCTAAGTCGCAGAGTTGGGTGAGGAGCCCCCCCGCCCCAAGACTCACGAAACATTTCTCGGAGCAAGTGTTGACCGTGTCAAGAGTCACCCCTACTCCCGCGAGCACCAAGTTCAAATCCTTAGTCTCTGGGACTGTGAAAAGTGACAGTCGGATTAGAGTCACTTGAGGCCTCTCAGCCTGTAGCTCTCACTACGGCCACGAGGTGGCGCCAGAGGCACGTCTCTGCGAGCCCTCCCGCCGGGCTTGGGATAAGGCTGCTGGGGAGTCAAGTCTCAGCTCTCCTTCCTGGTTCCCTTTCTCTCCCCCATAGCCCTTGAATTCCCGCCCGGAGGAAGATCCACTTTCACACACGCCCTTGCTCCATTTTGCCCCCAGGAAATGCCAAGGCCTTTGAAGTGACTCTGGGAGCTAAGCAACCAAATGGGGGGAAAAAAGTAAAAGTGGTTTTATGTAATTTGTAATACATGGGTGCAAGTCCCTTCCTAGAGGAAAGGCGTTAAACTCGTCTTCTTAGAACCGCAGTCTCAGAAGGAAATCCTTAAGCTTTTAAAGAAAAACAAAACAAAAAAAAAAGCAAGGGCATACGCTGAGGTGTCTGGAAATGGGACTATGGTGAGGCAAGAGAGAAACACACCACGGTGTGAATATAGCCAAGTATTCCATTTATTAACAAAATAGTCTTAGCAAGGGAGAGAGCTCTGTTCACCCCACAAGAGGCCCCGCAGCCCCGGGCGGCGCTGCTGCGTAAGACCGGAAGGGAGGGAAGGTGTGTGGGGGGGAGAAGACCCGGGTCGAGTCTTGAATCCTAGCCACCGCAGGAACTCACAGAAACCCACCGCCAGCTTTTGCAGATTGCTGGCTCCGGTCTGGGACAGGGCGAAAGGGAGTGCTGTGATCCTAGGACTCCCTGAGTCCCCAGCCTGCCCCCAACAGAGCTACTAATGTTGTCTGGTCTGATGACTTTGGGACTAGTCTGCTTTGGAGGGGTCCTTCAAGGATCCCTGGCCCCGCCCCTATCACCAGGGGAGGGCGGGAGGTGGGGGGGTGTCACAGTCCCAACTATAGGGAAGAAAAAAAAATAATGACGGTAAGGTACTTCACAAAATAGAAAACAGCAGTTTCGTGCCAGCGGGGCCTTGTAAGACGTTGGACTGGATGTGCCCGGTCCACTTCAGCGGGCAATCTGACTGCAGGGCAAGGTGTGGGTCCCTGAAGGGCCAGGAAGGGACAATGGGCGGGTCTGTTGGAGGTCAAGGGACCCACGGCAGGGGAGGCCTGCTGGTGGCTCCTGGACTCTGAGCATCCTGGAGGATCAAGGCTGTGATATGATTTGAGGGGCCAGGGCCTAGGACCAAGGGCTCCTGTGGGGGAAAGAAGGGGGTCCTGGGGAGGGTCACGGAGTTCTGAGTCAACAAAGCTCAAGACCTCCCCGCCACCAAGGCTGCTCCCCTCGACCCCCCCAAAAATTGTTACAATTTTATTTTTGTACAAAGGAAAAAAAAAAAAAGTAAAACCTCACATGGAAAGAAACAAGAGGGGATGGAAGGAAAAGGGAAGAAATGCAGTTTTAACAGTTAAGACTCATGCAAGAGACTTCCCAAGACGGGAAAACTAAAAGTGTAGAATCCCAACTCTTCATTCCTTAAAACCAAACCAGTCAAAAAGAAAAGAAAAACAAAACCCCCAAAAAAACCCTTAAAACGTATACCTAAGAAAAAGAAAATAAAAAAGGAAGGGAGAGGTAAGGGGACCATGTAGTTATCTGGGTGGTTAATATTATTATTTGGGGAGACAGACTTTTTGCATACCATCGACTCATGTGGGCCATTAATGCACTTATATTCCCAGCTTGTAAGCTAACATTATAGTAAATAAATACAGTCCAGTGGGGAAGGGCTGGGCTGGATCCTGGTAGGGGTAAGCAGTAGTGGTTGCAGCGTCGCGGGCAGGGGGGGACGAGAGAGGAAGGGGTGGGTGGGGAAGGGCTGGGAGGGGCCAGAGCTGTAGTTACTGGTATCCGAGCGCCGAGGCGGAGGCTAGTCTCTGTCCATACAGCGCATATGGCGAGTAGTAGGGTCCGGCTGTGGGGAGGGACGGTACTGCCAGCCCCCCGGCTGTAGATAAGTGGCTCTTGCCATAGGGGTGGTATCGGCTTAGCCCCAAAGTGTGTGGACTCCGCAAGGACAGCGATCCGGGGCTGCCTGGGGCGGTGGGCGGGGGGAGATGCAGGTGGCAA